CCGGCTCTTCTGCCTCAGACGCGGCGTGAGCCTGCCGCCTCAGCCCGGAAGAGCGCCCGGCGGCTCTTCAGCCTCCGCCGCTGGCCGCAGCTGTTCGGCCGCCCTGGCGCTGGCGGGGTGGGGGGGGGCTGGGTGCCGGGAGGGGAAGCGCGGGGCTTCGGCTGTCTGATTCATTCATTCTCCTCCGCGGACTGGAGCCTTAGAGCTGCCGTGCTCTGAAGACGAGAGGAGGCAAGCGGGGACCGACAGCCTCGCCTGAAGAGCCGGGCGCGGGTCGGGCTCCATTGTGCTCGGCGGCGGGGGGCGGGAAGGGGCTGAGGGAGGTGGGATCGGGCCCCCTCCCCCTGCTCCCCGGCGCGCGCGGCGCCCCCAGCCTGCTGCCAGCCTGGAAATGGCTCCGTTTCTTCTCCTGGGGAGAATGAATCGATCCTGCCTAGCCTTCTCTTCCACCTCTCCTCCTCTCCGCTCCGAATCTTAAGAGAGAGGGGGAAAAAAAACAAAAAACAATTCCTTTTTCTTTTTAAAGACCGATTCCAATGTGGAGTGCCGAGCCAGCCGCGAGCTGCCGGGTTCGCACTTCCAGAAGATTTTTCTACCTACTCTTTCTCTTTTGTAATGTAAGCGCAGGGAAGCAGTGGCATTGCTGCTTTTAGGATTTTTATTGAAGTGCACGTCGCATTGGGTTGCACGCTCCACCCCCCACCCCCCGGGAGCTGGTGGGGTGGAGAAATTTGAACCCACAGCCTTAGCGCCGTTAAGGCCGAATTACCTGGCTCGCTCTGAGTGTCGAGGAGGACATGAGTGAAATGACCAGCGAACTCATTTTTTATAGGACTCCTTGAAGCTGGTTTCTGCGTTTTCCTACATGTGCACTCATTTTGTGGAATAGTTTGACCGCTGTATCCTCCACGCAGCATTTTTTAACTGATACTAAGCAAATGCCACCTCTGTTTGAACGATTTGGTGTCTACGAGAGAGAGCTCATTTTACCTAAGAGAAATAATTGAATTGGTCAGCATCACTGAAATAACCCCGGAAAAGATCGTGGGGAGGTGGAAAAGCAACTGCGAAATAGACGGAGAAATCCTTTTGGAAGTTATTCCGTAGCATAAAAGCAGAAACTTCAGAGCAAGTTTTCACTGGGCAAAATGGGGTAAGGATTTTTGTGCTTATCACAGCTTTAAATCTCTGTGTGTGTGTGTGTGTGTGCGCGCGCGCGCGTGCGTGCGCGCGATCTCGTGTGTGTTTGTGTGAAAGAGGGTGAGAGATTGGTAGTGGTGACTGATTTTCGACAAATTTGCCTCTTGCTAACGAGTCTTACTTTAAAATGTAGATGTGCTAACCTTTTAACAAGTTATTTGTATTTTTTGTGGAGTGAACTTGGAGGTCACAATTAAGGGAGTGTGTGTATTGTTTGTAACTTAATTATGGACTCATTAGTAATGTTTACATAGATATTGTATTCTACCCAATACCACGTAATCGATCAAACCCACTGAATCAATTACCAAAATCTTGTCACCTTAGGTTTTGTTGACCGTATTTTACCAAGAGAGGTACTACATTCTCCCAAGACTTTGGAAATAAATCAGAAGCACAAAGGACTAGTGATTACTCTACAGTGCTTGAATCTGATCCAATGTAAATCGTTGCCCTTACAGTGCTCCCTGTTTTGCCCTTGACTATGCAGAACTACAATGTAGTTAATTTATTGGAATGTTAAAAGGATAATTTGAAAGTCTGGCTGGTGGGCTCTCCTTTGTGCCAATGCACTTGGTAGATCAGAGCTGGAAAAAGCAAAGCTTTTGGTTGAAGGAACTTGTTCACTGCTTTTGCTTTTAAGTTCAGACTAAGTTTGTGTTAATTTTGATTTACACCCTTCAACTCCGAAGTCAGCCAAGAATGCATTTTCCAAACTTTTTAACTATTTACGGCTTGATAAAACGCTAGTGATTTAAGTTAAGCTGGAAATTTATTAGTTTCTTTCCAGTGCTTTCGTCTAAGAAAGACTTCCAGAATTTTCTGTTTTTTTTTTTTCTTTGTTGTTGTTTGAACAGATCTTCTGAAGTGTAGTTGGGGACAGAGTTTAAAATGAGGGACTCTGAAATTGTGACAGGTCAGGGTGTTCACACACTTTGGGTAGTACTTTTTTTTTCTGGGATTTACACGTTAGTTAACTTAAAAAATTTCAAGCATATGTTACAGGAGTCACTTAAGTAGTTAATGAGGTAAGTTTTTTTTGGTAACTCTTAACAGGTAATTAGAATATATATAACTTGGATGATTTGGGTACTGTTAAATGAAATTAAAATACTTTACTGTATTTCTAGTGCTGCTATTAGTGGCTTGGTGACCTTAGGCAAATTATTTAACCCTTATGGACTGTATTCTTATTTGTAAAATTAAGAATTTAGATAAACTAACTTATAAAGACTTTTGTAATCTGTAAAAATAAATTATTTTCTTTCCCTCTGTTTAAACAATCATGTTGAAATAGATCTTGCAAATATAGAGATATTTTCTTTATCTAAGCTGTTTAAGCACTTAATCTGGGCAGGTATGGCATTTCAAAAATGTTTTGGGTGATTTGCACCAATTCAAACTTGAAAAAATACTATGTTTTAAAGCCTTTGAAATATGGCTTCCCTTGAGCATCTGCAGCTTGAGTTTAAAATGTGTTATTTAAAACGTGTTGGAGTACTTTATGCGCACACATAGAACCACATGACAGGTTTTTTTTGTGTGTGTGTTGATGCTATATTCTCTAGACTGGAGTCACATCATGAATGAAAATCAATTAAAAAAGAAAAGAAAAAAATGAATTTTCCACAACCTTTCAACTATGTTGACCATTTTACAAAGGGAAGCAGGAGATGAACTTAAGGAGGCTAATATTTAAGACATGAAAGCCCCTTATGTAGTACACTTAGTTTAATGTTTTATATGCCCTTTCATAAATAACTTAAAAATGGACTAAAGAGGAAATGGAGCAAAGATCTGTGGAGTTACTTTTCCAACATCTATATTTGGGAGTAAGATCCTTTCTCATTGAGAATGACTTATTTTATCTGGGTTTTTGAAAGAGAAAGGACAGATGGAAAAAGGAAGAGCATACAGTAAATAAGTCTGGCAGAAATTCCCCCACTTGTAGGTGTTATACTTAATCAATGCTTGTGGAATAAGTAGTCACCTGGATCTGTTTAAAACAAGAAGAAACAGAGCTTTAAATGACATTTCAAGTTCTTCCTAGTCCTAAATTACCTGCCTGTGACAGGTATCTAAAATTTAATATTGTGGATAAAGAGTTTCATATAAATACATCTGTTGTTAATGTCGAGTTTTAAAGGATTTGTCTTTGCCTTATGTATAATTGCAAGTCTAGTATCAAAGTTTAAGCAAAGGATTTTTTTGAATAAAATAAATGATTAGGCAGAAAAGAAATCTGGCCCCAGTAATAGTTTCTGAACTATGTGCAAAAGGCAAAGAACAGCTGAAACTGACAGTTGGCAGAGTCTTTCAAAGATCTTGGATGTTGTTTGAACTCTTTAATTGCAATGAAAGCAGCTGAAGTGTGGGTTTGTATAATAGGTATATCAAACATCTTAAAAAGTAAAGGCATTTACGTATGTAAGATGAAGCCTGTAAAAACCTTCAATGTCTCAGTGAGGAGCAGGTTCGGTTTGACCCAACTCCCTGCCCCCTCCTGTCCAAATAGTATCTCTTAATGACAGCAGTGAGTCAGTAGCTATTTCAGAACTGTTAGAGTAGGTAACAGACATCCAAGTAACTTCAACCAGTTATTTCATTCTACCTTTTGTTTTTACTTAGATTATATTGGCAACCTTATCCCTTCCCCCTTAAGAAGATATATATATATACTCTGCTAATGGAGTATGTTAATAGTATTTTTGTTTGTTTTTGCTTTGGTTTTAAATTATCTCACTTGCCTTTGAGAACCTCCAGTTCCTCAGTTTCTCCTTTGCTTTCCCTGCTTAACCTTCTGAACAATAAAAGGTTTTCTGGTTTTTTGTTTGTTTTGGTGCTTCCAATTGCAACCTAAACAGATTGCTTTTTTTGGGGGGGAGGGAGTGCTGAAAGACAGGATGTCCCTATTTTCTTTCTGCCTGTAGTGGCATGGGGGTTTCTGATCTCTGGGGTTATAGCAAAAATATGGAAATCTTGATACCTCACTATAATATGAATGCACTTCATTGGCAAAACAATCATCTTATTCCTAACCACAAAGAAGTTATGCAAGTCCTTCTTATTTTGCCAGCAAAATTTGTCCAATCTTATTAAATGGTATTCTAAGAACAGATACGATTCCTAAAGAACTACTAACTCATACAGTGGTCTTCAGTGTGTTAATTTTAGGCAACAAACTCTGATACCTCTTATAGAGATGGATTTATTGATGAATTTAATTTTAGCATTTTGTACCTCTTTTTCTCCCCATTCACTGTAAATATTACATGTTGGTTGTTTTTCTTTTCCTCAAGGAAACAAAGATGAAATTAATGAGAATCAGTGCTGCTGCTTTTACTTCTTCTAGGCAATATTTCTGAGAGGGGGGTTAAAGTGATTAAGATTTGCCATCTTTTTAATATTTTGTTTTTTTCTCTCCTTCATGTTTTGTTTTTCATCTTATTTTGAGTTTCCAAAAATCATTTCTCTGGTAAGCCAAACTTAATTTTGTAGGGACATCTTTTTAGTGATCTTATAAAGGAGAAAATAACAAGACTTTCTCATTTGGCTTTTTTGTAATTAAAAATCAAAGTTATGGCTCTTGAATAAAGTATATAGCCAGATTTTGATTTGGTTTAATTTCATTTGTGCTTAACTATTCTCTTTTAAGGTAAGCTACTCAAAGAATGCAGTCACTTCTTGTATTTGAAAATAAACTTGTTTATAAAATCCAGAACGTTAGCAGTTCAAGCAACATTTTATCTTCATAGTACAGTTCACCTTACAGTTTCTCCAGCTTTTGAAAAAAAATCACCTTAATCTCTTAATTCCTAATATTAGCTCAAAGTAGCTTTTCTTTGTGGGTATTTTACTTTAATATTATTCTATAAAACATGGAGAGCTGCCACATTATCTTTGAAAAGGATTGGCACTGAATGTTCAAAGCAGAATGGTTATAGGTAACGAGGTCTTTTTGTAAAATTATCAAGCAAGAGTGGAATGGAAATTGAACACAAACACAAAAACTGTCCTGAGGGACCTCAGATAACAAAGCAGTTTCATTACTTTATAAGGACATTCACAGTCAGTCAGGTTTATCATTGTCATGTCTATCTGGATCTATGTGTTCACATGCCTTGGAGTCTAGAGGGCTGTTCAGAAGAGTGTCCTTGACTTTTTCTCCCCCATACAAGGACTTGTTCCTAATTCCAAACTGGGCATTAGTTGCAGAATCTTGATAGAAACATACTGAAAGTACTTGTCCAGCACACTGAGGCCTAGTTTGATCCCCAGCATGCAAATTAAAAAAAAAAAAATAAAAGGTTAGGGAGCCATAGCTTTGATACATACTGTAGCAGTATGCTTCCTAACAGCTTAGGAAACATGCAACCCAGCATGCATGTATGCAATTCTAGCTAAGAGGTTATGAAATAATTAGAACTTGTTTTTAGTGTACAGAAAAGTAGGGCTCCTAGTAACTAGTATTGCCAGTTGTTTTTCTGCTAATTTTTCTTGGTAAATAGTTGGACTCTTTCACTTCTATTTAAGTATGCCCCAATCTTATTATTCTTCCATTTCATGTAGGTATTTGTAAGAAGGCTGAGGGAACTCTGAGGGTTGTTTTATAAGACTTTTTTTTTTTTTTTGATGATGATGATTCAGAATTTTCTGTCCTAGTTACTTTCAGTTTCTTCCATTAGGCTCCCATTAATGTTCTCTAGGAAGTTATCTTGAATTGACTATCAAAGACCTCAAAATGCTTAGGTTAGAAATTCCTATCCGTTTTCCAGAAAGCAGGATAAATCTGTACCTTCCTAAACTTATATGGGACAGTTATTTTGAATCTAATTATTATTAGATTAATGAGCTCAGCCTAGCTCCTTTACTTTTCCTGTGCTTAGTTTCTACGTACACTCTTGAAAAACCATGCTCTTTCCTTACTGAGTTTTTCTGAATCTTTGCCTCTTG